TGCTCGATTCCTCGGATAGTCTTCCGTTGAACACGATGAAAAAGGAAGAGAAAAGACGAAGCCTCACCCCACATGTGACTACAGTATTCAAGAGCAGGGCGGATTTGAACTTTATACAGTAAAAAAGATGAGCTGGGGGTAGGAAAACGTCTGGCACGAAATGGAAATCCAACCTTGTGCGCAGCATGTGAAGCAGGCTTAGCTATAAAAGGGGACCAGCATAAAGAAACCATAGGCAATCTAAGGAGGGAAACAGAGCCTGTGGAACGCAGTTGGGTAGAATTAGAAGATAAATGGGGGTGTGTGTAAATGAAGTGTTTTAACGAAATTGAAGAAAGAGGTTTGCGAACTGTTAAATGAAACGTGGTTTGCAATGCCTCTGGAAGAGATGTGTTCGACATCAGAGTCCAGTGACACATTAACTGCACTACGGTCACGATCGATGTTGGTTTTGGCATGAGGAGCAGTGCGGTAGGAGAGGGAGCAGTAGAGAGTGGTGTCATCTGCAAAAGAATGGATCGGGTTGACAGTTTTGGAAAGGAGATTATTAATGAATAAAAGGAGGCTTGTGGGTGCAAGTACTGAACCTTGGGGTACACCAGCGTTCACATAGAACGGCTGAGATAGAACCCCATCAACTCGGAGATGCTTTGCTTACTGAAGAAACTTGATATCCACACCACAAGCGCCGGAGGGAACCCGAACATGGGTAGTTTCGCCAGTAGACCTTCGTGTCAAACTGGGCCGAAGTCTTTAGAGATGTCAAGCGCGACCAAGTGTTTCTGTGGCGCGTCGCGACATCCGGCTCTTTATGCTGCAACAGTCCGGACAGCACTGCTCTACGGTTCAGAGACTGGGCCATTACGGCAACAGGGCATAAAAAGGTTGTCGTTGTTCCAACGCTGCTGTCTAAGTCGCATTACATGAGTCTGGTAGGAAAACCGAAGGAGCAATGCTGAGGTTAGGCGTAGAGTTTTAGATAATTGCGGTCACCCACTGGAACAGGTGTTCGAACTCCATAGATAAAGTTGATCTTAGCATGTGTTGCCCATGCCATTTGGGTTTTGGGTTTATCAATGAGTGGAATAAAAAGTGGATACATTGAAAAACAATGTCGGTGAGATTGGAAACGCCCGAAGTGAAACCATGAACGTTCTAAAGATAAAAAGCTATGACGTCACGAAAAAAGTCCCAATTAGATTATTTGTATCTTCAAAATGTGTCTCGAGATGAATGGCCGATCATGGTGAGTAAATTTGATGGCAACCAGCAACCATCCTTCTGAGACTTGGAGTGGCGGACCACATAAGGCCTAGACAAATTACGGCGTAGTTTGACAGCCCCTAAGTCACATTCCTCAATAAAAGTGTTCTTTTCAACGATGAACAATTTGGAAAGAAACTAATAACGTCTCCACAGTCATGATTTCAATGGTTCAAAGAATAATAGAGCTTTGGTAATGTTGGTATATCATAACTCATCATCAACACTAAGGATCCCTTCAATTTGACCTCATCCGGTTCGAGGTACTTCCGCCTTGAACACAATTTCCGTCTTCCTAACAACCTTTTCATGGTAGTCACGCTTAAACGACCTGGTGAACCATTTAGCTGTTCATCCAAAACCAATACTGACGTATTAGCAGACGATAAAGAAGTAGTTACAACTCTTTGTCTCGTCAGGACTTGAGCTTTCAGCTTGGGAGACATCATATTACCGGATGCTGGAAAGTCAGATACAAAATGCTTACGTTTCCATCCGCTCTATCGAACGCGGCTCTAAAACCGTGGTTGAGTCACTAGTCTAACCACCGTCCACGCGTGAAAAGCTGCTATACAAGACATCCGGTTATCTAACTCATTATCTTTTTCACTTGTATTTTTTTTTACTGGGTCCACACAATGCTAACCAGCAACAAATAAAAAATTAGTCCATGATTCTTTTGTGGTTGGAATACTGTTGACCAAACCAAGCAGGTGGATTTTCTTAGCGAATGCACAACCAGTGCCTTCCGTTAGCCAAAGCCTGGTCCACAAGACAGCGGGGTGGTGTGAAAACTGTAATGGATTGACGGTCAGTACCCAATGCATCGGACCATATGCCTTCCGGATGAGGTCAACCGTCCAAAGTGTCTAATACAACTTGACGCCCAATCATGCCAACGGCCACTATAATACCCAGGAAAACGTGGGTTTGGTTCATAAACCTCCTCTTGTTTAGTTTGGAATCAAGGTTTTCAACTATCATAGATAGACTTCCAGAGGTTAACCATCCCAGTTATAGCCCTTCAGATGTTATTTTCATGTCTTATTTTAGTGCAAAAACATCTTAACCATGAGAAGAAAGTGAGTAGGTCTTCATCCTCAGCGGACGCTATTTGAGTCACTTGGTCGTATAGGAGCATTTCGCGAGGCACAAGGGAAAGGGTTACCACTCGCAATTCATGCTACCTACTGACCATATTGAAGCTTTCGGAGCTGACTCGTTCCCTAATAGTTCAAAAATAAAAGGGTAAAGTACTTTCGTCGGTGTGCCTAAAGTAAATTGGTGTCGATGGAATGCCCCGTTAATTTCTCTCAAAAACACGTCTATTGTGATTAGATCACCAGATTTTACGTTACTTTCTTTTTAGTAGTTCTATTCGACTGTTCTCGTTTATTTTAAAATGTGGCAGTTGGTTCGCGTGGGAAATCCTTGTAAGTGCTACAATTAGTGCTTTCTATAATTATTTTCTGGTTGGTCAATGGTGTTCAAAACCCCCAGAACATTCAGTATCGGTCGCGTTGATGCTGACATACTCATTCCGGACAAATCGATTAGTAGGAAACATGCTACCCTCAAGGTCACAAAACAGGTGAGTTTTCTATGCCATTTAATTGTTGATTAGGAAGAGGATCTGTGCTTTATTTTGACAGACAGTTCAAAGTTTGGTAGTTGTGTTAATGATGCTGCTCTTTCTGACGGCTCATGTCAACTCAAGTCCGGTGATAAAATCAAGTTTGGTGCGCAACCAGGTGTGGAATTCAGGTATTTAGTGATACAAACAACAATGATAACGTCCGTATTCCAAGGCTCGTTTATAAACCGTTCAGAATCGCAGTTTCATCCATGGGAAGAGAAATACGGCAACGCATTAAAACACTCATCAGTTTGTTCAATGGAGAAATTGTGAATGATTTGAATGACACTTGTGAATTGTTGATCATGCCCTCGGTCGTTGTGACAACCAAGGTGAGCTCATTATCACTACATTTAATACTCCATCTACGCAGGTCGTATGCGCTCTTTTGGCTCAGGTTCCAATAGTCACTCCGACCTATATGGAGAAATTTCTTGAGGCGTCCTCACGCATCCCTTTCGTGCGTCCAAACGAGGTAACCTTTTTATTTTTTGCTCTTACACTTGCACAGAGAGAATTTCTGCCGAACATCAAAGAGGACCGTCTCACTTGTGCAGATTCTTTCCGTTTCTACCCGGATCATAAGCGCACCACGCTTTTCGTTTCCAAAGTCTTTTACACCCTTAATCATGAACAAGTGAGTCAATTCCTGTTTTCGTGTTCTGCAAATGCCATCATTGGTAAAGCCCTCTAGCCTCTGATAGCCAAAGTGTAAATTTGTGCTTCGCGTGTAAGTGGTACCGCCTCTTAACTCTCACTGCTATACTGCTCCTTTCCTGTTGAGGCCTCCTGAATTGCTCCGCTCCAGGCCTTGAGACAAAGACTGCCAACTGCTCGGTTGGCATTTGCCAAATTAAGACATCTGTGGTGCCGTCGCCACATCCGGCTGTCTGTGAGGGGTCGAGTGTATGCTGCAGCAGTTCGGCCAGTTCTGCTATACGATGCAGAAACTTGGCCATTAAAGAAACAGAATAAAGATAGACTGTCGGTGTTCGAACACCGCTGTCTGCGTAGCATTGCACGAGTCTGGTGGGGTAACCGGACAAGCAATGCCGAGGTAAGGCGTAGAGTTTTAGATAATCGCCGTCGCTCATTGGAGCAAGTGGCCGACCTCCATAGATTACGCTGGTTGGGGTATGTGTTACACATGACACCAAATAGGTTACCACGGCGAGCGATGTTCGCCGAGGCAGGTGGTGGATGGCGTAAAGTCAAGGGTGGTCAAGCTAAGACCTGGCACGAGGGCATGAAAGCCCTAACCAGTAGACTGGGTCATATAGGTCCCGTTAGGCTCCCTGGCTGGGAACCTCGGGATGACCGTAGTCGATGGTTAAAGACACTGTGATATAGCTGCTTGTCGTGAACAGTGACGTTCGTGCATCTCAATTTCTTTACAACATTAGTCCACTGAAATTCTCCACTTTCTGTTCGACTTTATTTTCTTGTGTTTTCTCCTAATGTTTATCCAAATAGGCGGCCAAAAGACAGCAACCGAAACCGTCGCACGAAAGTGCATGGTTAATGGTTGCACTAACTGAACTGAACCACACTTGAATTCACGAACCTCATAAGGCCTCGCTAATATATGCTTAATATTGATACGAGTGATACAAAAGTAAAATCACCGCATTGATGCGGTGCGCACAACACTTTTTGTAAGTAATGTGTTCATTGTCAACTTGCTTTCAGTTTTTTCTGCAATTTATTAAAGTTCATCTTGGTGCCTGACAATTACGTGTACTCCGCATACATAATCCTATTTCAACCGAACGGTTCCACTTGTCAGAGTTTTGCGGTCTCTGGGGATTCATGATTCACGCCTTGCCACTTCTATCCCAATTCAATGCTAGATACTTCCGCTATCGCCCTGCTCAATCTAAACCTCTCCTTTCGTTTTTTGTGTGATTCTTCACTCCAAGCCTCGGGGCTAAATTACCTGTTTTCATTACTGGTAGCATGACGAACGACCGCAAAACTACCTACCATCAAATTGCTTAGATCTGTCCCTACAATGTGGTGCGCTCCTGCAACTAGAAAATAATAACCACCATTTGTGCTTAGTTTTTTTATTTACCCAAAGAAACGGTTCGTGATCCATTCTGGTCCACATTCAACATCCACGGTCCGATCCGACAATGAAGCCATTGTGTGATTGAAGCGCTTCCTATTCGTGCACCCACAAATAAGCTCCTCCCGTTGCGGACTGCGGACTCCACATAGCTTGCATTATTCATTCACAACTCGCCCCTACACGTGACCGCTCAGTACACAGCAGTATGAATTAATCTAATTGTTTAGATTTGCTTTCCTCATTCCTGTTTGTTTGTGCACTCCTTTTATGTACAAGTAACCAAAAATGTCGGTCTATTATGCACAGTAAAAGAGAAGTAAAACTATATAATAGTACATAATATTTTTTGCGCAATTGGCTCAGCTCTTCCCGTTGTTTGGGAATCGTCAAGATGCTGATTAGGCAGTGCATATGTTGTATCTTACTGGTACACCTGAGGTGTTCAATACGGTAAACTCCGACCTGGACGTTCTTTGGGGTACACGTCAAACTTAAAATATTCAATGTAGCCTGATATCGTTATCCGGTTTACTCTTTTTGCTGTAATTTACAACTAGTCTTTAACACATGTTATATCAAATATATTTGATTGGCCTATTAAAGCTCAGTTTGACACAGGTGAACAAGCGAATAAATATGACAAGGCTAGTGATAGTCAATACTATAGTGGTGGAAGAGGTAAGAGGACTAAGATCAAATGAAAAACGGTATAGAGATGGGTTGATTAAAATGAAGGTTGTCATATTTGTTTGCTCTTCTTGCTCGCCTCTGTCATTGTTGTAAATTTTATGGTGTCGCCTGGAGAGGTCTCTTCTATTGTAACTTTTCTCGCTTGATTTTTTTTCGTGGATTTGATGTTCAAGATGTGGTGGACTTCAATTTCATCACTAGTATTAAGACTTGTCATCCTCTTTGTTCGTTGATAATACCTCTGGTCGGTTGTTTGTTCAATCATTAGATGACCTAGGTTAAATGCACAATCCGTGAAAATCATCGTATAGCGAAAATACAGCAAAGCGAACATCACTGATGGCTGACAAACTCACCTGGAGTTTGATGGACGGGGACTGATAGGGGGGGGGGGGGGG